CTTCTTCTCTACAGGTGCTAGAAGAATTTCTCCTAAAATGCAAGCAAGCCGTAAAGTATCATGAAAACGTGACCTTTGGTTGAGCTACACGGTAGGCCAGACCCTTTTCGGAGGAGGTATTGCGGAGATGATTCTAGTCAAAGCCATACTCACAATGTTAGTGACATCGGGAGAGGCTCCGTTCTGCAGCAGAAGGAGGACTATGTTCAAGTGGCCCATAAATGCAGCCACGTGTATTGGTGTGAGGCCCGACTGCGAAACAAAGCAAGAGCAGTTTTACTCCTCTGCACGGGCGTAGGGAAGGGGCTTCTTCGTTTAAATAAAACATAGGTGAAAGTGAGGCATGACAGGAGAGAGAGAAAAGGAAGCAAAAAGGGAGAGAGAGAAGGAATGTTTCTTCAGGACATGAAACATTTTTCTACCTCCGTTATAGCCTGGATTGAAGCCCCATATTTCACCAGGAGTTCCATGACTTTGATGCGATTTTTCTTGCAGGCAATGTGCAGTGGAGTAAAACCATTCTGTGCAAAAGACAGTCATGTTAGTTAAAAACATGCAGCTACACTTTCCACGCAGCTCCATGCTGGCACGCTGGGAGCAGAAGTGTTAGAGTACCAGAAGCAATTGTTCCTTAGGCACAACAGGTTACGAATTACAGATGTCTCCCGGCAGTCTGTGGCAGAACAAAGCAGTGCCGCTGCTTTCTTCTCAGGCAATGGAGAGAAACTCAGCTTCCACCTCCAAAGCCCAAACACAGACATGCCCGTTCTGACTTGCGAGCGTGTGCGTGTGTGCATGTATGTATGTGGTTCTGAAGGCTGTGCACGTGTATATGTAAGGATGACTTAAAGTGGTTCCCGAGATTGCCTAACACAAGGAAAATATAAGAAATGACAGGGATCTCTTTGAAATCAGTTAGTATAAAGCATATTCTATACCTCTCTGGGAAAAGAGCAGAGTACTTCTTCCAGATTCCACCTTATTTTGTCTTTTTAGAATATCTTGTAATCTAAGCATCTGTGTGTCTTTATTTTTATATTATGCATCAATCTACAGTATATGGGATTCATGTTTGTGTGTGTGGGTGCGTTCTGTGAGGTATCTTAAATAATCACTACTTCAGCCACGGTTTCAGGATCCAGAGTGTTCACTCATGAAGTATTTGTGGCCCCCCTTCCTTTATTCCTGCCCTGCAGAGTCATAAAGCATGGTGAGCAAGGTATCAGCCCTCACCTGGATTAACGTTAAATGGGGCAGGGACAGGAATGAAAGGGGGGTGGGGAAGGCAACGTCGTAAACCAAGATTGCAACCTCACATTTTGTATCGTGAGACAACAGTTTTAGTGTTGCGCTTACCACCAGCACATACTCATTTCTTTGGGAATGCTTATTCGGTAAGACTGGGGCCCAAATCAAAGCATGTCTTCATACTCTATACTGTAATACGTGCTTTGACTTCAAGCTTTTTTTATGTTAATACAGGTTAAGTGTGTGCCTAAAGCTAAGCAAACACATTATTCACCATATGTGATCATTTTAGTGAAAAGCACAGGTAACGTTTTTAGATAATGTTGAAAACTTGCTCTATTTTCTAACGAAAAGGATCAGTGTTGCTAAACGATCAACTAGCAGTCAACAGAACTTATCAGTGAAATCTGCGCTCGTGGAAAGAGGCATGTGACAGCTTACAGTCAGCTTCTGTTAAGGGAAATGTTAATTACTAGTCGATTTGAGGGTGCTTTAAAGCATCTACAAATTGAAAAAGCTAAGAACTCATATAGTGCTTGTATCCCCAAATCATTTTGCAAACATTAGCAATTATTTTTTTTTAATCTAGCTGAAAATGAATTATTTGTAAAATGTATTCCATCGCAGGACTCTGCTGAATATTATTACTACTATCAGCTTTCTCCAATTTCTAAAGAAGGAATCAAAACCATTAGATATTTTACCTCCCGCACAACGTCTCTCAATATATTTCACAGGGACTTTTACCGTTTCAGAAGTTTCTGTATTTTCTATACAATTTTACTGCCTGAGTTGATTGAATTTTGCTACTTCTATTTCAGTGAAGAACAGTTTTGACGGGGGAGAGGAGAAGGCAGAAAAAACCTATCACTAACAGAAATTACGAGCATCATTTAATATATTAAATACTACAAACAAGCCAGAGGCAACAAGTCCCTGATGGGAGAGGAAACAAGAGAGAGGAAAAAAAAAAATCAGTCTGGAGGGAAGAGAGGCCGGAGGGTGTTCTCCTTTCATTTCAGATGTTTCTCGGGGAGGAACAGAAGGTATATTTTTGGTCATGGAAGGAAAGAAAGAAGATGTGGGGGCTAGCATATAATTTGTATGTGTGGGAAGTACAGCTAAAGATAATCAGAAGACTGGCAAGAAAAACAAGGAAGGGTGAAAACAGCATCGAAAAAGATCAACCAAGTGAACATGATACTGAGAAAGACAAAACAAGAAAAGCATGAGAAGAGGAAGCAAGAGGGGTTACGGGATTTGCGGGTATAGAGAGGCCAAGAAAAACGAGAGGGGAGAAGAAAATTGCATCAACAAAAAATCCGTTCCGAGGAAGGAAGGGATAAGGGGAGCCTTCACGGAAAAACACAGGGTCGCATCGAAGGCAAGAAGCTGGGGAGGACGTCAGAGTGGCCTGGGGTGGAAGTGCTGCGGGGGCACTGAATACAGTGGGCAGTGGCAGACTTCTTGCTGTGCAGAAGCATCTCAAGTGTTCACGGTCTCTTTCTTTCCCCCCCCCC